ACAGATAATATAGGTCCAGTACGGTATTATCAAAAATGCAATTATGCAGTTGCTTTGTAGAGTAGATTTATTATTCGAATTTGTTTCGTAAAGACCGCGCAACTTCAGCGCCATCTGGTGACCAAAATACTAAAGACTTAAGCACTATGGGAAACACCGAATACCCTTTTTAAAACCAATTCATTAAGGTTTTGACTGCCAATACAAAACTGTTAAAGGAAATCCTCCGCTAACGTCTTCGGTCACCGATGATCCCCATGGCGTTTTATGTGTATCCCTATGACTAAAAATGTAAACGTCTAATGGCCACGCTAAATACGAAATGAAACCTATTTTGAAAACCTATATTTTCGACAGTCATTATCAGTATCAGCTTATATGCAACATCATTAAGTAATAGGTAATTGGACCTAACAAACTGCAGTGAGATAATTATGAAATAATGCTACTGGTATTTAATATATATTTGCCGTTATAATTAGTGGTACATTGGTAATTAGAGAGAGTAGAGAGCAAGCAGAGTAATTGCTTACTAAAGCCAAGGTTTGTAAAGTGTTTTTGTAGTCGATGGGCCGACGTTTGGCCACTATCTCGCCTTGTGGTAAGCGATGATGCGGCCTACGATGGAGCACGTCTGCCTATAAGCAACCTATTCACTCGAACCTTGTTAGGTTAAAGTTAAAAACTAATATTGTGTAGAACTAGATTCATAGAATCCTGTTTTTTGTTTATGGCATAACCCGGTAAACGACCAGACGGATCACCTGATGGTAAGCAATCAGCGTCCCCCACGGACACCTGGAACACCAGAGGCGTTACAAGTGCGCTACCGGCCTTTTGGGGATTAGTAGTTTGAGGATCGTTGGGATTGGGGAGACTGGGCAAGGGGAGAGTAATTGGGCCTCCGGTAACCTCACTCACACGACGAAACACAACGCAAGCGTTGGTTCACGTCGGTTTTCTGTGAGGCCGTGGTATCACTCTGGTCGAGCCGGCAATAGGTTTAATAACTTCAAAAATGTAAAATCAAAAACTGTAACTAACTGTAGATAAACCTTCAAAATTCCCTTGGACATATGACGTGTACTGTAATTGAAGAATTTATTCCAAAACTATCATAAGTACATTCTATGAGATACTTTGAACTTTGAAAATTCAATAATAAATGGTTTGCTTGCACAATATTATTAGAAGTCCAAGTACCAATATAACATCGTCTCCAATCAATGTTGAAACTAATGAAAAACTGTTTACAACAAAATTAATTTGGAACTCATGAAATTGGAGCAAACTATTCGATATTAATATCCCACAAAAGTTTCAACCTCAAACAAACGGACTACGGAGATATGTGGGGCATTTATTTAATTAGAAACCAAATTGATTTTCATCTACTACACCAATATGTTACTTGTAATATTGTTCGTAGGTATGTTATTGAATTTTCACAATTTAACATTAATTAACAACAGGATAGTTTCAAATCAAAATTGCTAATCTAATATCAACATTATTAATAAAGAACCCCTTTTCCTAGGCTTTCGTAGGAAAAAATATTTTAACTACACTTATTACTAATACATAACGGTACAGTACAATGTGACACCCACTTTTCACTATTTATGTTATGAGTCCCATGTAATATAAGAAGGTGAGCCTAAAGCCATATACCGGGCATAATCCCAGACTCCGTGCTACTACTGAGAATGTTTAAAAAACCCAGTAATACTTCGCCCGACCTGGAAATCGAACCAAAGACCCCTTGCCCGGCAGTAGCACTTGCGACCACTCGGCAAACGAGGCAGTCACCTATCCTATCCTACTAATATGATAAATGGGAAATTTTGAGAGGATATTATTTGTATGTATGTGTGTGTGTGTGTGTGTTTGGTACGCTTTGACGACTAAACGGCTGAAGGGATCGAGATGAAATTCGGAACAGGGATAGATTATGATCTGGAATAACACACAAGCCACTTTTATCCATCGGGAATTCGTCGAAATCATCGAAGCTGCGGGCAGAAGCTAGTATTACATATTATTTAGTACATAGGTACATACGTAGAGGCTTACTGTTTACCGATGTCATTCGTTCACAATAAAAAGCATAACCAATTCTGATAGTCATAAAAGCGCATTTTGAACGCAGCCTCGTTGGCCGAGTGGTCGTAAGTGCGACTGCCGGGCAAGGGGTCTCGGGTTCGATTCCCGGGTCGGGCAAAGTATTACTGGGTTTTTAAATATTCTCAGTAGTAGCACGGAGCCTGGAATTGTGCCCGGTATATGGCAATAGGCTCACCCCCTATTACATGGGACTCATAACATAAATAGTGAAAAGTGGGTGTTACATTGTACAGTGGTATAATGTGCACCTCTGTCTACCCCTTCGGGGATAAAAAGGCGTGATGTTATGTTATGTTGTCAATTTAATTATAGAAACCTACACCAAACATTATGAAAAACCACCCCAATATTAAAAAATATAACAGCTTCATATAATAACAAAATCGAATGACCGTCACCATTGCCGGAGTAAATTAATTGAAATGAAACGAAACGAAAGTTAATAACAAAAATTGATTAACGGTACCCCCTACGCAGTTCGCACTAAGCGTTCTCAATTAGAGAACGGAGTCGTGGTCATTAAAATTTTCATTCAAAACAATTTTAGTATTTCCGTGTCGAGTACACGAGGATATCCCCTGCTTTAGGAACACCATGGGTTGTGATGGGGAATGAGGAACGTTTTATAATCAATTAATAATAAGCTTGTCCAGTAGGACTCTTTCTGAGTCAAAAGTCCGCTCTTTTTTTAATAAAAACCCCCACTCTGGGATTATTCTTCTGTGTCGTGGGTGTGTTTACAAACATACAAGTTCTCGTACACAATGACATTTTGTGGAACACACAAAGTGTTGTTCGGTGAGGGAATCGAACCCGCGACACGTTGCATGGCAGCCGGTTGCCCAGCCACCGCACCAACCGTGCAGTTGGATCACACCAATTTAAAGAAATGTCCGTGCGATTTAATTTCAAGTGTAATCGAATACTTTAGAAACAATTATATGTAATTTGAGTACAACTAACCTCTTTCTGTTTACTTACTCCTACGAAAAATTAACATTGTATAAAGGATAAAAAGTCCATTACAAAGACTAGACTAAAACCTTCCTAACTTTATTTTATTGACCTAAAAATTATAAATGGGTTGGTCACCCTACTACCCTCTAATCTCAGTGCTTCACCTTAAGTCCTTTTAATTATCTGTGGAGGGACTCAGAATTAAAACAAGAAGCAAAAGAAGACACTAAATTATTCATGTTATTATAATTAAAATTGTTAATTATGAGTTCAAGTCTAAAAACTGTATATAATTGTTTTAAAACAGATCCTTTTTAACGAGAAAAGATAAATTATAATGTAGAGCAAATATTTAGAAGAATACTATATGCATGCATAAAAAGAGTGATGACTGATGATAAAGCAAAAGAGGTACGCGTAAACGCATATTATTTAATAACAATTATTTCTTTTATTGTGTTCTGGCTTCGTATCAACCGCTTTATTTCTCTGCACTTCCCTATGGTTGTCAGAGAAAGCTTTAAGGCATTAACTACGCCATTCACTGTTATCTTTGGTGAAGAAGTAATAAATAAAATAAAATAAAGAGGTATGTAAGAATCGTAGCAATCAGTATTCCATAGTCTCTTTCTACCCCATGGGAGACAGGCTTGAAGTTATGTATGTAAGACTCTATTTACTATTAGTAGTTAACTAGTATAACTAGAAATTCATAAGTCGCACTGAAATTTTTACAAGTTCACAAACTCATGACACCCAAACTCAGAACAACAATCTATGGATCACACAAAAGTTGTTCCATGCGGGTATCGAACCCGCGACATGTTGCGCGGCAGCCAATTGCCCAGGTCAGTAAATAATAGACAACTATTTATTAAATTATCAAACTTTTTGAAACACATAATTCAAAACATCTGACCCCTATATTAACAGCGTATCTATCTCGGACACAATAACTAAGTACCGAATTCTATTTGCTAGTTAAACCTATAAACGGTTTAGCTGCTTTATTTTTTTTACTGAATTTTGTATCCTATAATAGGTTTGTCGTATTCTTTTAAGCAAAAAAAAGCGCTTCTTATTAAATAAAGATAAAAAAGGATGAATCATCATCAGTTATTGTATAAACTCATCATCATATCAACTATAGGGTAAGCACTACTAAACATAGACCTCACCCAGTCACTTCCACATAGGCCAGTTGGAAGCGACCAGCATCGAGCAACTCCCATTCCCTAATAACTCATATCAAAAACAAAATCAGTTACTTAAATCTTCATCTTTTAAAACCACCCAGACATTATTATCTCTTCAATATTACGCATAGATACCTACAACTTCACAGTTCAAATCAACCCTCCAATCTACATCCTACCTTAAGTCCACGTAATTATCTGCGATCGGGGGCCAAAAGAACCCCGGCTCAGAGGTTAGCAAACACCCTAAGTGCCAGACTTTAGTTAATTATTCACGGTATTATAGACACTTTTGTTTATTTGAGGGTTATAGATTTAATCGTAGTTATAAGAGAATTGTAACGTGTGTAGTATGTTGCTTTATGTTGGTTTGAAGTGTTCAGTTTGTGGTAATAAATATACATGAATTTGAATAGGTACATGAATTTACTCAATGTCATCCACCTTTCACTAATTATGTTATTAATACCATGTAATATTTCTATTTGCAGTTAGTTTTTCAGAACTCACATACTTTTGACAGTTTTGGTAAAAGCATCCATTGTCGAGATCATAGGTAGCTGGCTTGTAAAAATATTATTTTCGTTAGGTCTCAGATGTTAACTATTAACAACTAGAATGGAAGACCTTTAGTGTTTTGTGTACTTAGTAGTAACTTGTTCTAGAAGTCTTTAAATTTATATATTATATTTTATTCTAACTCTCGTATTTTGTTTGTTGCAGTCGGAGATATGTTCGAGTGCACTCACTGACGTCATCCACGCCGTCATTAACGGAACAGACGGCTGCCTCTTCTGCTTTGGACACGCAGGACTTGGTAAGACAATATATAATACGTAGGTCACTACAAAAGTTTTGTCGTACTCCGTGAAATATTATTTTTTTTCGAAGTATTCTCCATTGGCACTTAGGCAGGTCTTCCTACGTGCAAACCACGTATCAAAGATGTCGCTCCAGAATCCTTCCTGCACACTGCTGCATATCTCCTCAAAAGCACCTAAAAGTTGGTCATCATTAGTAAACTTGCGGCCTTTTAGTTGCTTTTTTACATATGGGAACAGGCCAAAATCACACGGTGCTAAGTCTGGGCTATAAGGAGGGTGTCCCAGTAATTTGATCCCAGTTTGACTCAGATAGTCCACAGTTTTGCCGGCTCGATGCGCGGGAGCGTTATCATGATGCAAGAACCAAGTGTCGAGTCTTGAGTTTGGACGTTCATTTTTCAAAGATTCTAAAACTTGAGGTAAACATTTTTCAGTGTACCAGGCAGCTGTCACAGTCTTCTGTTTATCAAGCACAATTATTGATAAAATACCTCTTCTGGAGAAAAATACGGCTACCATTCTTTTTTGACTGACCGGGACATTTTAACGGACGTCGGAGGATCTTCGTCTTCAAACACCCACACTTTACTCTGGGATTTAGTTGGAACGTCGAAATAATACAGCCAGGTTTCGTCACCAGTGATAATTGAATTCACATAGTTAGATTTGCCGTCATTGAATTTTTTTAACATTTCTTTACACCATTTGACGCGCTGTTCCCTAATCGCATCAGTTAGCAAATGTGGTACCCAAAGTGAACAAAGCTTTCGTACTCCTAAGTTTTCATGAAGAATTCGATGAATAGTTGGTGCACTTAAATTGAGTGTTTCCTCGATCTGACGGTATGTTACATGGCGATCTCCTTCAATCACTTTTCGCACAGCCACAATATTCTTATCAGTGGTTGCGTCAATCGGCCTGCCCGGTCTTGAATCGTCTTCTAAATTAAAATTGCCGCGATTGAATTGTAAAAACCATCTTTCTATAGTCCTAAGGGATGGACAATTATCACCCAACACACCACTCATTTCTTCGAAGCATTGTTGTTTTGATAATCCACGCTTAAAGTTATACAAAATTATCACCCGAACGTCACGACGATTTAAATCTGACATATCCAATTGTTAAAAAATTCACTAAAAAAATACTAAGCTAGTTACTCCAACGAAACTTATGCAAAATATGTTGACATTAGTTGATGTATTAGAATCTACCCTCAGTTGAATTATAACTATTAACTATTTGTCATACGACAAAACTTTTGTAGTGACCTACGTACATTTAAATACATCATCAGCAGCCCCTGATAATCTAACTATGGGCCTCCTTTACAAATAACAGAGGTTGGCCAAAACCTAAGCATTCGACAGGTGGGTTCGAAAAAATACTCGTAATCTAATATAGGTCCCTCGCTTAGATAGCCTACGCTTTGATCTATACTGGTTTACTTGACCACGTTTTTCGAATATACTCTATCATCTATAAATCTACTCTAGGGTTTCCTAAACTACGGGTCGTCACCCATTGGTGGGTAACTACCGAATTTTGAGTGCGCCTTGTCTATAGAATGACACACTAACTAAACTTACTTTTCATATTGGTAATATTTTAATTTCCAAAAAGTGGGTCTTGAGTTTGGGAACTTGATTTAGATAGGTCGTAGTCCAAACAACTTTGGGAACCACTGCTCTACTCTATTCGAAATCTATTTAAATACTGTTTAAAACACGCCTAACAGAATAGAAGACAAGTTTTATATTTCTATAACAGATAAGTGTTATATTTATCTAAAAGTTTACTCTTTGATAGTTATCAAGTCCTCACTTTTAATTCAGAACCGTTGATTAAAAAGTGCGAAAACTTACAGTCAGGGCTGTCATTCCACTGCGGTATTTTAAAAGACACCCATACCAAAGTGCACATACTTATTTAGCTAAATTCTTGAAGTACAATGTCTTCATAAAACTACAGATTTTGACTATAAAATGCTAAGTGATCGAATTAGATTAAATTTTAAATCATACCTTGTAATTCATTAACTGCTACTTCTAAGTTCTGGTATAAATAATATGAATATGTATATGGTAGAATTACCACAGCAAAAAATATATTTCAACTGAAACTCCATTCGGAATTCCACGCAATGTTTGCAGTGCGGAACCACAATTCATTTGAAAGGTGGTAGCCCTAATTATGCACTATAAAGTATGAAACTTCTCACTCGGCTCGGCGGCAGGATTTGCATCTAAATGGCAAAGAGTCGGGAGAGCTCTTAATTGAAAGTTTGATAAATACGACCTCCTTCCCTCTCACTCCCACACTCGTGATAGCAAAACTTTGATATTAAACTGGCTTCTCAAGTTAACACTATTCATAACGAAGGTTTCAAGTCTAGATTAAATGAATTACAGGTAACAGGTTTTGTTTTAGAATTAGTTTTGCAGTTTCATTAGTCTTAAACAGTAATAATTAATCAAAACTTTTATTTTAAAGCCTATATATATCATTTTTAGTATTTTAACACCAAACAAATGATTAATTAGACTTAAACTTGTCTTAAGAAGAGGATTACATGTAAACCAATTAAAACTCAACAATTCAACTTAAAGTAAGCTTCTAAAACAATACAACACGACATTATAACTGGGAAACAAGACAATAGCTAAGAACCCAAACAGTATTACCAACCTATTAATAAGTTTTAAGACAGGAAATCAATTTAGCAAGTTGCAAAGGATTATCCGAACGATGCGATCACGATAATACCACAGACAAACAATTGCGAAATGGGCTTATACTTTCATTAACACAAAACAACGGACGACTAAAAACGAAAGAGGTAATTTACCCGAACCTCCCCTCATAGATTAAGGTTTCAGATGCAAATTGAATGCTTCGCGAGATGAAAGTTTTGGGGAAACGCGGCGATGTTGGCACTAAACCCCAGCTTACGGCAACATCCCGCTTATACAGGATCTGCGAACCAACTGAGTGAATAATTCGAACCTCGTTTTAATTATTGAAGGATTTCGGAAGCCACGTGAAGCTAAGTGAACTTACCTGGTGTTAAAGTGATTTCTTGTGTTCATTACGCCGCCGACGTGAATATTCGGCGGTTGCTCGGAATCCTGTCGGAGTCTTTTATTATTCAGTTCTAACCTCTCACTGTTTTGCATAGAGTTACGTGCCCATAAATGAAATTTTGTATAGATTTTTATTTCGTAAATAGCATTATGTAATGTTTGAAAGGAAGACTTTACTTTCTCGACCTTGTTAGAACCTTATTGGAGTTATTAAAACTAATATTGATCCTTTCAAACTCTCTAAAACTACCAACTTATAAATTTTCTAGTTTCGTGTTAGGTGGTTTATGAAAGCTTAGCTCACATGTTTGTTTGTTTGTTTGGCTAGGTAAATCCTATACGATGTTGGGGCGGCCGGACTCGCCGGCGGCGCTGGGCGCTATACCTTGCGCCATCACGTGGCTCTTCCGAGGAATTGCAGAGCAACGACACAAGTGTGGCACCCGGTTCTCCGTCAGAGTATCAGCTGTAGAACTCTGCACGAACACCAACCAGATCCGGGACTTATTGGCACCATATCAAAATGGTAAGTTATCAAAACAATATCAACATTTCTTTTAACAGCTGATTTAAAGAAAAGTCCATCCATACAGATGAGACAAAATCCGATTTTGTGAAATAATTGCTTATTGATACAGGTGCTAGCAGAAATGAATTAGGGTTTTCTATAAATTATTGATGTTTCAATTTCGTTACGCTCTGCCTTACCTTTCATTACCTGACATTTCAAAAGATAATGACCGTGTTAACGACAATTCCAAATCTTCATTATCGATACTAAGCCACTATCGAAGGACACTGATGAATCCTATGACCTATAGCAAAAAGATTAGAAGTGTTGATGTTAAATATTTAAGCCTTTGACTGGCGGCAGAAAACTGTTGAAGGCAGATCCTCCGCTAACGTAGGTCACCGGTGACGCACGCAGCGGTTATTTAAATAATTACTTTGTTCAAAACAGATCTAATTTACTATCCTTAATTATATTTTTTTATATCCAAACAGACACGGAACAATCTCCAGGAGTATATCTTCGAGACGATCCACTCTTCGGGACTCATCTGCAGAACCAATCAGAGCTCAGAGTTCACAGCGCTGAGAAAGCAGCATTTTACTTGGATGCTGCATTAGCGACCAGAGGAACTCGAGAGGAGGGGAAAGACAGTCATCTATTGTACACACTACATGTATATCAGTATAGTGTTGGTGGTAAAGGAGCAGGTAAGATTAAATTCTATACAAAAACATCAAAATTTGACAAAGTCACAATTTATTACTTTATATTATACCTTATCTACTTCCAAATGTATATAAAAGAAGCTGTTAAAGTTATGCTTTACAAAATAAAGCTTTGTTGAAACATTCTTACACAAACAAACAAGACTCAAACAAAAAGCTAATCAAAATTTAACACAAAGAGTAGTTTTTTCAAGAACGTCCATTGAAGAAGGTTCTATATTAAACAAATTCTTTAAATAAAAGTTTCACTATCCGGCGCCGTACTAAACGGGTCACAAAACAACAAAGTTCCTGAATTAAAAACATTTCTCTCTTTGTTCACAGTTGCCGGAGGACGCAGCCGCCTGCATTTAATCGACCTAGGAAACTCAGAGCGGGGAAAAACAAACGGCGGAATACCACTATCTGGTTTAGGAAATATATTACTTGCAATATTCAACGGACAAAGACATCTGCCGTACAGAGACCACAGTCTTACTCATGTATTAAAAGAATGTCTCGGGTCTTTAACATGCCACACAGCCATGATAGTGCATGTCTCACCAACCTCTCAAAATTATTCTGATACATTAACTACCTTACAATTAGCTTCTCGAATACATAGGCTTCGGAGAAGGAAAGTTAAATATTCTGCCAATAACAATGCTGGATCTGGTGGAAGCTCTGGTGAAGATGCTTCGAAGCCTAGTAGTAGTGAACCAGACCCATCCAGTAGTGATCTGTCAGCAGATACTGTAATATACGTAGGCCCATTGGACGATGCTACTGACGGAGAACATCCACCCGTGTACATACCCCACATAAACTCAGGTGACAACCGATGTATCCTAAGTAAAGCCTTACGAGGCTCAGCAGCAGAACAAAAACACAAGTCGTCATTATCTCGAGTAGTTGAAGAGAAAAGTCCAGTGCACAGGTTACATGGATCTCCCAAATCATCACCCTTGAAAATTTTACAGCCCACACATACTCCAAAAGCATCTCCAGTTCATTCAGTTACATCTAAATCGACACCACTCAAGAAACTAGCTCCAAAACATCCAGAGGAAGGTAAGAGCAATAGTGATGAACAATGGATAGATGGACCTCGGATATCTAAATCAAAGTTAGTTGAGGCCAGACATATTATCAAGGAAACACAAGGCAAGAAACGAGAAACTTGGATTGATGGTCCGATGCAGGAACCAAAAGTACCAATACAATTTGAATCAGTGCCAATACAACCTGCCAATAATACAATGCCACTCCAGTTAGGTATTCTCGGTTCACTCGGTAGTGAGAACTTAGGATACGGATACATGGATAACCATAAGAAAAATATGATCAGGAAATGGGTGGAAAATCAAACTTCACAAATCCATAAATCTAGACACAGCTCACCAAGTCACAAAGCACAAACTGCTCATAAAGAGCCAAGTGCGAGAGCTCCCGAAGAATCCGAAAGCGCTCATAAAATGGAGCCAGTGACAAAAGATTCAGCTAGACGAATACACGTAGAAGAATCCACTATACGAACTGGTCTAAAAGCTAGCTCTAAGGGAATGTCAATCGAAGAAGAAAATATTGGACCGGGTACCTCTGAACAACATTCGAATAATAAAAAGTGCTCCAAACCGAGTAAACAGGAAATCGATGATGACGATGACAGCGAAGAGCTAGCAGAAATACCACCTGCATTACCTATAATGCAACCCAGTAGTCTAAGTAGTAGAGAAGTATCAATGGAAAGTTTAGATAGTAAATATAAAGAAAGGTTACGGATGGACGATGAGATGGTTTCAAACCATAGCAGAGATATTGACCATCATGGCATGAGTAGAGGTCTTAATGATGATGATGATGAAATTTTAGAAATAATCGAAGTTGAAGAACCTTTAGAACCTGTCCCTATGATGGATTCTTGTCTGCAAGTAACAGAAGAGGATATTGCCTTCTGCATGGGCTTCTCAGAAAATCCTCTTCCAGAGGTAGACCAAGAAGATGACGATCATCCTCTTAGGATTCTTAGCCAAGAAAATTTAACAGTCGCATCGACTTTCACTGATACGCTCTCCTTGTACAGCGAGGTTGAACGCCAAATTAGAAACGAGGCTTACCTTAGACAAACGATAGGTTTTTACGCGGATAAATATAGCGCCGATCATGGACTTGGATTAAATCCACATGATAGTCTACCATCATCCCGATCGAGAATTGATGATATCATGAGCTTAACTGAACTGTACGGATCGCGACGTATGTTGGATACTGATGATATGTCACTAGCGCGGATTGTTCCTCAATTTCAGTCACTGTCCCTATCAAATGTTCGAGATACAGAGGAATTCGGTGGCGATGGTTCGGTTTACAGTGAACCAGCTTATAGACCAAGTGACAAAATATGTAACAGTTGCAAACGGACCATGTCTAGGCCAGGTAGTGCAGTTGGCGAGTGTGAAGCTTACCACGATTTAGAAGGTCATACTGAATGCTACGGGCCTTTCGAAAGATACAGGGGTAATGATATAACAGATGCTCGTATAGCATCGCTAAGACACCCAGATGGAGCTTCTGATCCAAACTTGAGAGAGGAACGAAGGATACCCGGTAGTGGAGCTCCTTCGTTTAAAGAACTCAAATCCAATTTACACCTCGAAGTGACACCGCCTGTGGTGACGACCGAACCGCGAACGGAGAAAAGTGATAAAGGAATAGCTAGGGTGGTTGCTAGTTCCAAACCTGATGGTTATGATAGCGGCCATGAATCTACGCCACGGACAGGCAAACATAGTCCAGCGACGACCTCTAGACGTGCTGAGTCGGGGTATGATTCCGTTCCTCGAGATTCAGATGCTTCCTCTCTCGATTCGTACCCGACGCGGCGCGCAGCTGTGGCTAGAGCTCACGCAAAAAAGCATACTACAGCCAAATACAAACAACACAGCGACCGATCCTTCTGCTCATGGCTACGGAACCCGTTCACTTGCAAGTACGCTGACACAGATCCAGAAATCAGTGACTTTTAGAACAAAAACCCAATGTATAAATATTTAAACTGTATAATTCTAAATAGATATCATTAAGCTACGTTACCGAATTTAATCTGGAGACTGCTTTTGTACTCTAGTACTCGTATTTATAAAATAAATGCTTCGACACTGTCAGGTTACCACTGTATTTTTCTAGATTTACTGAAGCTTCTAGCTCTGCGCTCTAAATATGATAATCTAGATAATATTCTAAACACTATTGTAAATACAGATGTTATGCGAGGATTGCTATAACTTGTTAGCGTTTATCTTCTGCTCATTTTTGTACTTTTATACTATCATCATGAAAATCCTCTATTCCGAATGTTGTGAAATTATTTCCAATATGGGAATAGCTTTTGTACTGAGCTCACTTGTAAATTATTCAAAGCAAGTCTTCCTCTGTCTTCCCCTCTCTGTGACAATTTCATATCGAGGACATTATTTTCTATATCTGCACTGCCACTGACCTCAACGTCGTAATGTTATGTACCGCGTCCATTCCAATCACTGCTGAGACCTTTTCTGAATCTCCATTTTGTATATTAATTCCGAAAAAAGTTTGTTACGCTGTTATAACTTTTATGAAACTATATTTAACGATAGTAAAATAATACTGTAAGATTGAACTCAACGATAGTGATTGGAATAGTTCGCGTCTATTTATATCAATGTAACTAAAAATCTCGTTTCTAGGATTTAAGACTGTTGTCATTTCTTTGGCCATGTTTTATATTATAGCTTTAAATTTTGATATATTGTAATAATGTAATCGGGAGGTTGACGACCCCGCATGTCTCCGACGACTCGTCAGCTCTATCGAATGTTGGTAAACTAAGTTTAACGCTTTATTGTCAATGTTTTGTTATTGTACTATTAATATTACAAATATATATCCTAAATTCTACTATGCGTTCGTATTAGTTTACAATAAATTGTTCGATTTCGATTATTATTGGTTTTATTGTTTTACACATCCCTATCAACCGAAGTTTATCTTATAACGTACATAAAACAAATACATGTAGAGAAATCGACACACACGAATAGCTGAGCTCAACAGTTTACATTGAATCTTACTAATATTATAAATGCCAAAGTTTGTGTGTATGTTTGTTACTCAATCACGTCAAAACTGCTGATGGGATCAAGATGAAATTGTGAACAAGAGTAGTTTACATACGCTACTTTTTAACCTACAGGAACGCGGGCTAAGCAATATGCACTTGACACCAGAAACCACCACCTCTAGTAACACAATAAGTTTAATCAAAATGAGTACGCTCAATTTAAAATGTTACGCTCCCTTAATCGCTTATGCTCTAGTAAAGAGATCATCCAAATAGGAGCCACTACCCGAGCACTTAAAACAAAAAAACCATGAATAAATAATGTGATACCAGGCACTCTTGTGCCCCACGAATGGGAATTTCAAAATCTTTTGGGGATATAAAACTTTTTTCCCTTCACGAAAGTAGAACAACTTTTCCCTGTTAAGATGCAGCCCTATTATCTTTCATTTCGCCAGTAATTTAACATTCTCAGTGCGCCCCGCGAAAATCAAGCTATCAAATAAGATGTCTACCCTTCGAGCTCCGTGGGGTGACAACTTTTTTCTTGGAAATCTACCAATAATTTGTTAAAGTGGCAGCCGGTTAGCCCATAACGCTTATCGGGTTCTAAAAAGATTTTAGCGTTTTAACATCGGATGGGGAAAGTTATATTTTCATCGGTAAAGCCAATAAATTTTACTTTTTATCGCGGATTTTCTGAATTCGATCGAAATTGCAGGGAGGATGTCGTACTTTTTAATGTTGGGAAGGAAGTGTGATCGACTGGAATTGGGGAAGATGAAACTATTGAGATGGAATGGAACAAAGAGGGTGACAACCGCTCTGAAGTGAATTGCATTTTGTTCACAACGTAATCTTGGAACAATCTTGTTGCTGAAATATTTTATATAATCCTAAGTTAATTGTTTGTTTTTTTACATTTTGAATCGCATTCCTTGATTGAATAACCAGTACGGCTTTTTAAATGTTCTATTACAGGAATGATTCCACTGAATGAAATACAGAACCTGTTCGACATTTTGCGTGCTATAAGATATATGAGACATCATAAGGCCTCACGTTACATTAGTACGTTTCATAACCTAGAATAAGGACCACGTGTACAGCATTCACACTAAAAACGCACTAACAATAATAATAAATATAACAACAAGGCATCCATAAAAAACGTATTCCTAAAAGTATTACCTCTTAAGATTCAATGCAATCAGGCATTGACAAGTATGCAAATAGTTCGTAATAGGTTCAATTTGGTGCAGAGTTTCCTAAGAGATACTTTGGTTCAATTTTAGAATGGTTTTAAAACTCTTTCCTGAAGAGCAGAGTGCACTTAACGACTTTCTGGTGCTCAAAATATTCAGTTTGGGCGATTTTTTCTGTATTCTGTGTACTGTATAGTATTCCTACTGGAATACTGTAATTATGCTGATAGGTTTACTATTTACACAAACTTACAAAACTAAAACTAATAAATAGTGATTAGCAAAAATCGAAGCGTCGTAGATAATTTTGTCTTTTAGCAACTAACTGAAAAGGTACTTAGGGCGTTATGCAAATGTGAAACATATCGAGACATTTATTTCATAAAAGATCTTTCAATAAAGAAGAATGTAAATAAATCCTTATATAACATGTGCGTAAGTACATGTTGCAAAGTAAGCCTTACAATACTAACTCGTAACTACAAGTCAGCTCCCAACTTCCTTTCCCAGCCAACATCCCTAACTAAACGAACAACCGATTATTTAATAACACACGCTGTCACATAATACGGGACCAATAAGTACAAAATGCGGATAAAAATAATAGCTTCGACCGAAGAAGGCACACGTCGACCGACTCGCCGCGCCGGTCGACACGTGACAAGAACACGAATAACCCAAACATATCATCCTCATTCCACACAATTATACACGTTATTCTCCACAAAATAGAGGTTCATATTGTCTGCTGGATACCTGTATACAGCCTCCGAAACATTGGAACGTGATACATACTGAAATAATAACAAAACAGATCGGCATGGGGTAGGTATAATGGTGTATCAATCCTGACTCATACGAGGAAACACCGAAGGTATCACATTTGTCAAGGAACGTAAGGTTTGTGGGGACCATGACCAGCATACAAAGTAGAAGTAATAGTCTTAACTAGACTAACTAGTTTGGACATAAAGAAAAGTTGACGGACGGAATCCGACTTGGGATACTGAACAACTTCTGATACTTGGTATCAATACAGGATTTTCTTATTCTATGAAATAATAAGATGGTAGTAAATACTTATTGTAAATCCACTTTTAACTGTTGTACCGTTCCTTGTAGTCCCATTTTGTAGTAGAGGGGTAAGTTGCCAATTCGTCAAACACCTGGTACAATGCAATGGTAGCTACTCGTATAAAGAAACACATGTAAGTAATTCAGTTAGTCATGAAAAACGTACAGAGCAAAGCATTTCCTAACTTTACACGCTAAAAGAAAAATCTTTCAATGTAAAAAGAAGAAATTGAATCCTGAACAAAAACGACTTTCGACTTTTCTATTGATAACTAACAAAAAAAGCCAACTTCTGTCGAATGTAAATGGGCAATTTGACCAGCTGCGTTGGAATAGTACAATGTGGGACAAGTTGTATTGTATGCCGAATTTTGTTTCTTCAAAAAGGCCATCCGGGGAACATTTCGGCGACGGGAACGTGTCCTGAATCTGAAGCGGTCGGTTAACAGAGCGACGCACTACACGCCTCCCGCGATCCGAGCATAAATTGTGAACCTTTTGAATAGATACTCTTTGTTTATCCACCATAAGTCAGCTTAGGTCTTGAAGAAAATATTCTAGAGCCCATTTTTGGGACTAAAGTCTGTAAATTATTGGAGTACGTGCGAGGCATCGGAAGTGCTACTTATTCAGCCGCTAAATATTCGTATACATTAGGTCGGGGTTAAATATTGGCGTGGTAGAAATATGTTAATACACTCTTAGAATAAGAAAAGAGATTACGTAAAGTCTCCTATGGCCTAGAGTTTTACATACTACTGGACTTAACAAATAATTATAAAGAGACAGTTCTAAAATTGCTATCCATCTTAAACAAGGCTCAATCCTTCTCTGCGTTAGAAAAAAATATTTTCATGAGACTCTTGAGCCGAACCCACTACAATAACAGACGTAAATTATAAGACAACTAACAACCAGAATAGGGTAGACGACTAATTTTTATTTTAATGTCCGTCTGATAGATTATTTAAATACATTAGACACGTATTTTTTATTTTCTCACAGAAACGAATAGTTTCGAAGATATATTGATTTGAAATGTCGCGTGACGTCACTTCTCAGTACATTTTATACTAAGAAATGACGTTTTAGCCCCCACTCCTAAACTTTGATTCGTTTTATCTAAGTATTGTTTTATTATACGACAAAATAAAAAAATACGTGTCTAATATTTTTTCATTACCTAACTTACGGACTAATTATATTTTTAATTTTCATACCCTGTCATCATCCCCATTCGCTCCAGATAGGTAACTAGAAAAGCACATAAAGATACTAACTAGTATCAAACTACAACCACCAAAATCTTTCAAAGTGCAAGATTCCCAAGTGACAATAATATTGGCAACGAGGGGCCAACGGAGTAGAAAAATAGCTCTACACTTTCTACCGCAGATCCAGGCAGCTGCAATCTTCACTGTGAATCTGGTATATTTTTCAAGGCGTCAAATCTGTGCGTTACACCGCACTGTCGCAAATCGAATTTGTCTCCTCCGAGTTGAGCCGAATCAATCTGCATTATCCTTGTGACATTCCGCTGTAGAGTATGAGAGAAAGCGAGTGGGATTAAACATAAGTTATCATTGCTAAATAAAAATCGACTGCAAATAATTGTTTATTTTGATCAATAAAATTAAAGTGATGTAGA